GGTATATAGTGGTTAGTACATCTCTTGTAACTGGGCTAATGCACAGGCATGATGGATATTTAAACATTGTTGTGTTCTCACTGGGGCTTGAAGGTCTGGTTTTAAACCAGTTAAAAAATGGCTGGGCAGTATTTATTTGGTATGAAATTTTACTCAACAAGGCATCAAAAGTATCAAAAGGAACAAGTTTACCTTAAATTTGTGAGTTCAGCCATTAGGTATAGTAAAGGGTCTTTCCAAATTTAGCATTCAAAAACCGCAGTTACTCTTATCATCTAAGCCACTCATTTCTCAATCTAATCTTCATGTACATCTGATGCCACCCCAATGCCTTGCCCTCCAGATATATACTGACACAATTCTCGACCTTTAATTCTCTAGGTCTTTCTTCAATGTCAAAAAACTTTTTTGCCATGTACACCCAGCCTCCTAAGGTTTTCCCTTTCAAACTCTGGGAATTTCACCTTAGGCTTATGCAATGCAAATCACCCATTCCAGTTTTAAGTTTTTTTTTTTGCATACCTGAGTTGCCATCTTCCATCCGATTTAACGGTTCCTTTTGAGACTCATCTGCTGCATTTCCATTTTAGCTTCCGCTGTTGGTCACTGTTCTGATAACTTGATCAAATTATGGTCACTGTGGTGTCCGAACATTTGTTTTATTTTGTTCATATTACCTTCTGTTTTCTGGGTAACTTGATCAAACTGGTCACCCCTTGTCTCCAGGTTTCCTAGTTTACCTCATCCAATTGTCTAAAATCTTGCATGTTGTATTTTCAGAGACCACCTTTGTTGCCCCAAAAGATGCTCTTATACCTCTGATATTTGGAAATTCCAATAGAAGAGAAACAAATAGTGAAGAGAGACAGGAGTATTTGTTGATTCTTCGTTACATGCATGTTTCCATTTCTCAGTATTTATGGCCCTTGTTGATTATTTACCAGCTAATGAACAATGACTAACAGCCACTTTCAGTTACAATCAGGCTAGTATTTGTTATTGCTAACTAATAGCTTTTTCATTCCTGTCTAACTTGGATCCTAATTCATCTTCCACATCCATTATTCTAACTTGGTTACATGCAAACACATATTGTGGTGATTAATCTGGTAGTGATTGTGGTCTGCCTTTAGGAGTTTGTTCTATAAAGCAACTATAGTGCTAATTTAGTTTTGAAAATTTTGAGATCTTAATGTTCTTTTGTTTCAAGTTATCCTTTTCCTGCCTTGTGTTTGTTCCATGTGTTATTCCCTGCAAAATCATGATTCAGTATGAATCTCCATCCAAATGACTTGAGAACTTCTTGTGGTTCAAAGGCATTGACTTAAGATTATTCTGTGCACAAAATAATTTTCATGCAATGACAGAATTTTTGTAAATTTTCTAGGACTTGTTTTGTATCTCTACATATTAAACAATTTTGAGCTCATTATCAATGACCTGCTATAATTGTTATAGAGAATCATTATACTCACTCTCAATCTATTGTGAATGTGATCAGTTGTGGGGTTGGCAGTGCGTGCCAATAAGTTTTTCTTTATTTCCTGGAAATTCAATACTCATTTGTTGCATCTTGGTTAAGGTTGCTGAGATGGAAGCTATTCTGCAACAGCACAATAATGCAATGCCGCTTCGTGACATTCTTGTAGGACTAGCAGAGAGGTTCAGGTATGATTGATATCCAATTAAGAACACCAGATATTTTATGGTTCATTTTCTCCTCCTTGGTTTGATTTGAAATGGATGCACTTCTTATTGGTTGTAGTGAGTCAGCAGATCGAAAAGGGAAGATTGCGGTGCAATTTAAGCAAGTAAGAAGATGTATTTACTTCGCTCCCTTCTGAAGGAGAATCATTTGAGAATTGGGTGTCTTATTATATAATTTTTGTTTTAGGTTTGGAATTGGTTCCAAAATAGACGCTATGCTATAAGAGCAAAATCTAGCAAGGCTCCAGGGAAGTTGAATGTATCATCCATGCCCCGAGATGATCCACCTCTAGTGAGAAATATGCCTCAACCTTTAGTTGCTCCTATACCCACTCCAATGCCGGCACACATGCCTGCTCAAATACCTGCTCCTTCAGGTAGGATGGGTTCTGCTCTGTTATCAAAGACTTGATGTAGTTTTTATTCCCTTGAATTTGGGCTTTTCACAATTGCTTGTTCAGATGTACTGTTTTGATCTAACTTCGAATTGAAATTTGTCATTGTTATCTTTTTAAGTTGTCGATTGATCTTTCCATTTAGAGGATCTTTGAGATTATTCATTTGTTGCTTATAAACAGTTATAAGGATCCTTATCTAATCTTCGTGTTCATGCTTATTAAGTTTTTGAAAGAGACTTCAAGAAGTTAGAAAATAAACGCCTTATTTCTAACTTTTTAGGTTTTTGTTTTTTTATCTAACTAATTTACTTATTTACTTTCTTTCTATTTTCTTAAAATTAAAAAATATACACAAACTAATAGAAATAATAAAATTTTTGTAATTAATATATTTTAATTAATTTTGTAATGAAAAATAATTTGTTTTGTTTTTGCAATCAGTATCTTGTCCAAACACGTAGCAATTTATTTTTTTCGAGTAAGAAATTATATAACTTAAAGTAGTCTGTTATATTTTTTAATTTCAAACAACCTCTAAATTTTGAATGGGCTAGAAATTCGGCAAAATATCTGTAAGGAGAATGTCTAGGCTTTGGGTAACTATAATTTGGAAATCTTCTGCTAGCTTCTATGTTAGTAAATGTCGAAATTTCCATCTTGACAATGTACGGATCAGCTATGTTCAGTTCTTATACATATATATGTTGTCTTTCTTTTCAGTTCCTAGCATGTGAGAGTGCTTCAGAAAGTTCGTACTTGGAATTTGAAGCTAATCTGCTAGAGATGTGCGTGTAAGTATTTCTGGTCATCAAGTACGAATTCTGAAAGCTGATCATGAGCTTTCACTCATATATATAATGATCATTT